TAATGAATCCAATCAGGACCTGTATCTCGAATTAGACCAAAAAAAATTAAAGAAAGCTACCGCTTTACATTTTCAAACAGTAGCTGGCTCGTTAAATAAGAAAGTTACAGATCCAACGACCCCTAACTTTTCAAATTTCTGGCCCCAATGGGAAGAATTTTATCGTCCTCTTGCTACCATTAATAACGATATTTACGATCAAATCTTAGATCCTCTCACTTATGACGAATGACTTCTCATTATCAAACATCTACCTAATGAAAAAGCTTCTGACCCCTCTAACGTCTCTAACAAGCTTCTAAAAAAAATGGGCCCTTTAGCGAATAAATTTTTATATCATATAATATGTGCGTCTTTCACGTTTGGTCTCACACCTAGGTAATGGAACTTAGCTCACGTATATCCGATACCCAAGCTAAAACCATGGGATTGCGATCTCAATAATACACGACCTATTACTTTACTTGAAACTGTTCGTAAAGCTTTTACAAAAATTATTAACGCAGGTTACAAAAGATTCTTATTGCTAACAAAGTTCTGTCCGGTTTGAATTTTGCTGGCGTTTCACATCAATCAATTCTTGAACCTCTTCATGTTATTAATGATTTGCTTGAGTATCATCGTTTACAGAAAAGTTCAGATAAATCCTACAAACAAGACCTTCATATCCTGTTCCAAGATATGTCAAAAGCTTATGACAGAGTTAATATCTACATGCTTAAAAAAGCTTTAGCCCGTTTGAAATTTCCAATGACTCTTATTAATTTGATTACAGGACTCTTTTTCAACTGTTCTAACCAAATTTTCACTAACTATGGTCTCACCGATCCTTATGATGTTCTCGTTGGCATTGACTAAGGTGAAGTTATTTCTCCTCTTTTGTGAGTCATCTATTATAATCCTCTATTCAATCTAATTAGAAATTCTGAACTTGGATTTAAATTGTCTACCACTTGGAACCCCAATCTCGACACTTCTGAAACTGAATCTCTTAATGTCACCATCCTTGTTCTCGCATACATGAATGATACTATTTGGATAGCGGATAGTTACAAACAAATGTCCAGCATCCTCAATATAGCCCAGACATTTTACGAGTTGAATTCGATGAAAGTCAATTTCGATAAATTATATTTGATAACAGATAACAATCACACTGAATCAATTTTGTTTCGAAACTCTTTCAATAATTCATCCTTTGAATGCAAAAATATCTCACCTAGGGACTCGACCCGATATCTTGATGTTTGGATCTCTGCTCAATACAATAAGAAATTCATCAAACACCAAATCTCTTTGGAAATTGTATCTTTCAGAGACAAACTTAGTTTCAAATCCTTAACTGACAAACAATTGAGATATCTAAACAATATGATTCTCATTCCTCATTTAGAATATAGATCAAGACTTATTATTCTTTCTGAATTTGAAAGTGACTATCTATATAAACCTATGCGTCAGCTTATTAAACACAAATTAGGACTCAG